TTTTAGCACAAAGTCATAAAAGAAGACAGTTTCTTTGGTCAAAGCTGTGGCCTTTGACGAGCTACATAGCAGTGACTATCGGTTTGTGTACGTGTGTTCTGATCTGCAGCACACAGTTCAGTAGGAGCAGTCACCGGTCAGTCTGAGGAAATCTAGCACACTTCCTGCCTTTTCTCCCAGGTATCTTCCTTATACTTTTCTGTGAACAGTTTCCTTCATGCCCCTCTCTCCACACCACATCAGCTGTCTTCTTCAATTACTTATGAAACTTTATTGCCAGCATAAAATCACCCCTTTCCCTCCTGCTCCCACCTATAAGGAAGTCAATCAATGGGGACTTGGCATTCACCTTTGAGAGAGGTCAGCTTCTGGTATGCAGCAACAACACATGGACTTTGATCCAGGAAGAGCGCAGCATATTATTTATTACTGAAATAACTATCCAAAAGGAAAGTAGAGAGACATAGAGATTAAGACTGGGTTTAGCTACAAAGGCAACAATATCCTAAAGGCATTTCAAAGACATGCTCATAAAACAAGAAAATTCCAAGAACGAAAAGAAGTAATGAAATTAGTAAGGTGTTGGCAAGAGAGACCTCTGTGGGTGAGGGGCAAAGGCAAGGCTGCCTCCAGAAAGTGTGAGTGATGTCACAATGTTTTCCCACAAATACGGAAATCTAGACATTGGGGATCAGGGATCTGTATCTCTAGTCATGACTCAAACCATGATCTAGACCCTTGAAGAGCTTGTAGAGTCCTAATCTTCCCCATCCTGGGGATTTTAGACACACGTTTTGAAATGTGTGAATCAAATGATATAAGATCGCAAAGCAAACCACGTGTACGGAAATACCATTATCCAGCCATTAGAGAGAATGATAGGAGAGAGAACGATAGGAAAATGATAGTATCTACTTCATTGATAACATACTATTAGAACTGGTTCCTTGCAGTTGTCAGGAAGCAATATCAGAGAGTATCTAAGTGCTAGAGATGGTTTATGACTGGAAAAAGGAACAAGAAAAGGAGGAAGACATTAGATGAATAGATAGCACATTAACATAAGCTTGAGATCAGTCTTCTTGCCTGAGTTCTTAGTCCCACCACCAGCAATCAGTTTCTTCTCTTTTGGATTATGTCTTGAATTATCTAATTCTCTAACTTAATTAAAGGTGTCTACTTTACCTTATACCTAAGCCTTCAGGATCACCCCATAGTACTAAAGAATTTCTTCACTTGTACTTCTGAAATGACAGACAGCGCTCAAGTACAGCGCAGTTCTTTAGTCTGAATTAGGCTTTCTCAGCACCTGTCTGTCCTCAGTCGTGATGCAACCAAGGGGACCATTTCCACCTTTCTGGTTGGTCCCAACGCAAGTCTGTCCAGTTTTTCCTCATGCTGTTCTCTCTACTTAGGGTTCTCTTTGTCCCATTTCCTGATACCCTTGCAACTCCTACCACTTTTCAAGTTTAAGATCAATTACCACTGGTAATGAGAGGACAAACATTTTCTTATTCAGACTTGCTTCTAAAATAATGATTATCCACAAATGCAAGTTTATCAATAAGAACATTTAAAAATTAATGAATGAGAAGATTAAACATGGCGCTTTGGAGAAGACCTAGTACCATAAATTAGGAAATTGTGAAGACAGGGTTAGACATATTGCGTTTCAGCAGACTAGAACTCATGTTGTAGGTTCATGTGCTTTTATTTATTAGCCCTCGTTTCTGTATCATAATTTTCCAATTACCATTATCTCCTCACTCAGTGATGACATTCTGGTAAAAAGACTCAAAAATATTGGTCACAGTCAATTCCACAATGGTAAAATGAATATCATTCCTTTTTATTTATTTATGATTTTTTAGAGTGAGGATACTTTTAATGTTTTTCCTCCTTAGTTTTAACTTAGGGTTTCCTTTTCTTGAATGTGGCCTATCTGTATCCTGCATGAGATTCTGGATTGACATTCTCGTACTAACCAGTTCTGGCTTCTCTGTTCCCATAGCACCCATTATAGAACAATACAATCTTACGGCTGCTGATAGTATCACATCTGATAAATTCACTGTTCCCTATAAATTATTCAAAAGCAATTTCAACTTAGCAGAAATGAATTTCCCTTTCCATGAAAAGGCAAGTTTAGGTCACTTTCGCTTTAAAATAACCTAATGATATTGAAGACTAAATAGACAGAAACAGAATATTTATCAAGAAATTTCTGCTTTGAAGGCTAAACTGACCTACATGCATAACCTTTTGCCAGATTCAAATGCAACTTGATATCTAGATGAAAGAACCGGGGAAGAATTAATATTAAACTGACCTTGAGCTTCTTCTATTTCTGATAAAAAATTTCAAATTGCAGATGTTCCTCTCTGTGATTTCTGAACACAGTGTTCATAGCTAGATTAGGCACTCCTTTTGCAAGCTTTTTATTTTAAGATTCCTGGAGTAGCATTTTGCGTAACTCATTCAATACGATAATTCCTCACAATATAATAAATTCATCTGAGCACCACACAAAATAGCAGAGGGTGCAAAGAGATTTAGGAGCCTCGGCCTATTTTGCCCTGTCATTGTGGTTGACCAAAGCCAACAGGAGATGGCAGACTGTGCCATTATGCAATATTTAGGACAAGGATGACTCAGGTTAAACTGAAACATTATCTTAGTTCTGAAGTAAAAGGGCAGATCTGCAAGCAGACACTTTTTATGTAAACAATGAGGACAATGTATCCCAAAGGGAAAAATGCAAAGGATACTTATACCTCATGGATAATTTATCTTAATAGTGCACTCTTGAGTGTTTTCCCCAAGATTTCTTGTGTGTGTGTGTGTGTGTGTGTGTGTGTGTGTGTGTAAGACAAATAAAGGCATTTTAATGGGTTTATTTTCCTTCTGTTGAAGTAGCATATATTTTGTTCAAGTGAGAGGAGGGTATCCCTATGAGAAATAGAGTTGTAAAGTATTTTCTATTCTGATGACCGTTTGGGTTGAAGTCTCTGAAGATGTATGCACGGGAGTTCAATAGTCCTTGAAAAGTGGTTTCCAGACATCTGGGCCAAGGCTTACAAAAGAACTATTGTGGCTGCTGTCAGTTCCAAAATCCTAGGAAGTTCAGAACAAGAAAGAAGGCAGAGCCTTTCCGGCATGTTTCTGAGGATATAGAAATAAGAAAGAAAAGAAACATAAGGCTTGTCTTATGACAACATACCGAGCCGGCAGACAACCCTGACCTTTTCTTTGATTATTGGAGTTGGATAGAAGGGTAGTAAACATCCTGATAGTTAATTAAGAATAGGAGGTGGGTAAACAATCCAAATTTACTTTAGCTTATTTCGTTCAGAGCCTTCCTTCTAAGTCAAATACAAAGACACCAGCGCACACAAATAATATGGTGATTTTCTTTATTATCTCAAAAACATCTGCTCTGTCATGGGGGTTGTCTGCAGCACACGGGAACAGTGCAGCTGCTCTGCCCACTGGGTCACTGTCAGCAGTATCATAACTTCTTTCTCAGCGTGCCCCGAGGACAGGATGATGTGAGAACTCCGTGCTCTTGAGATTTAGCAATGGTACATTACTGATCTCAAGGAGTGCCTAATGCCCCAACTTTGTTAAGGTACAGAAAAAAAAAACCCTGCCCATTTGCAGACTAGCAAATGACAAATCAGCAGGACCACCTGCCCTTTAAATCAGGAAGATCCAGGCTCTCTCAACAACAGGAGTATTTTTGTAGCTTTTTCATGAATCTATCTCCTCTCTCTCTTTTGAAGAATAGTACTATGACCAAGATGGTGAATTTCTTCTCTTCTCTTCCCTTCCTTCCTTCCTTCCTTCCTTCCTTCCTTCCTTCCTTCCTTCCTTCCTTCCTTCTTTCCTTCCTTCCTTCCTCCCTCCCTTTCTCCCTCCCTCCATCCCTTCCTTCCTTTTTTTCGAGAGCTGAAGGACTGGTAAAAATGTAAGTATTCAATGGAGCTTCAGTTGTCTTTTGGTACACATAAAGTGTCACCCGAGGTGTCTGATAAACTCATGATTGGGTCTAATTGTAACTTTCTTTCTTTTTTTTTTGAAAGTAATTTTATTAAATTATAAAAGTTTCCATTTACACCCCTCTTCCCAACACCCTCCCACTCCCCCCACTCCCTCTCCTCCTCCCTCTTCGTCCCTAAGAGCAGTCAGGGTTTCCTGCCCTGTGGGAAGTTCAAGTTCCTCCCCCCTCCCTCCAGGTCCAGGAAGGTGAGTATCCAAACAGACTGGATCCCCAAAATCCAGTATATGCAGAGGAAACAAGTCCCAGTGTCATTGTCAATGGCTTTTCAGACAGACTCCGGACCTGGAAACAGCCTAGGTGCCCCTCAATAGAAGAATGGTTAAGAAAGGTGTGGAACATATACACATTAGAGTTTTACTCAGCGGTAAAAACAATGACATCTTGAATTTTGCATGCAAATGGATGGAAATAGAAAACGCTTTACTGAGTGAGGTAAGCCAGACCCAAAAAGAGGAACACGGTATGTATTCACTCATAAGTGGATTCTAACCTAATTGTAACTTTCAACCAATATTTCAGGAAATACTGAGTTAGAGGGGAGGTGAAGCAGGTTGTTTTGAAGGCCCTCGCATGAACTTCACCACCACAGTTTGTCCCTTTCCGGATTTCCTTTTTTGTGATGTCCCCTCTCCTTCCAGCACATTGTCATATTTTGGCACCACGCTCATCTCAATTGCTTGCTTCTGTCACGGTAGGAAGAGAGACACAGCTGCTAGATTTCAGAAGGATGCTTCTCTTACACTTGATTCCCTTGGCTATCTTTCTCTGTGCCAGATAACAGCACTTATGATGTGCTCTGTACATCATAATCCCCTCTGTATGCTGTCATTACCATTAACAAATAAAGAAACTGCCTTGGCCTGTTGATAGGGCAAAATTTAGGTAGGCAGGGAAGACAGAACTGAATGCTGGGAGAAAGAAGAGCAGAGCCAGAGAGACGCCATAGAACTGCCACAGAGCCGCCAGAGTCAGACATGCTGAATCTTTACTGGTAAGCCACTGCCACGTGGTGATACACAGATTACTAGGCATGGGTTAAATTAAAATGTAAGAGCCAATAAGATGCTAAGTGCTAATGTGCCAAGCAGTGTTTTAATTAATACAGTTTCTATGTGGTTATTTCGGGGCTAAGTTAGCCAGGCAGCCAGGATGAACAAGCAGGCCCTCCATGCAACACACTTAAGAGGCAACTTAATGAACTTTCAATACTTATTAAGAAAGCAATGACTAAAACAGTTTCCGGTTTTACTTCAGGTCCTCAGTTCTACTAGTTTCTTCTGACTATATCCTTTCCCTCCTTCCTTCCTTCCTTCCTTCCTTCCTTCCTTCCTTCCTTCCTTCCTCCCTCCCTCCCTCCCTCCCTCCCTCTCTCTCTCTCTCTCTTTCTTTCTTTCTTTCTTTTTATGAGACCTACATATTCTTGTCTGAGCAGACAGCTTCTTTGATACCTGATAAATGCACTTCCAACCTCATGCCCCACCTTCCAAGGCACCCTCCAATGCACGGTGTTGCTATCTAAACTCCCCAGGTTTCTTTCCTGTATCATCCTACAGAGACAGTTTGTGAGCCCTGTGAGCCCTTTCTACACTTCTATCCCAGGCATAAAATAAGTTCCCAGGAAGTGTTTGGTGAATAACTAAATAAATGTAAGTTTCTCCAAAGAATAAATCTCTTAAAGGTAAACAGGGATCATGGCCTTATTTTTGTCCCCAGAATTCCAGGCACTGGCCAGTCTGGGAAGAAAGTCATTTGGGAAGATATCCTTCTTATAATTGTATAAGCGTACATTTTGTAAAAGGGGTGTTGTAGAGGAAAAAGCAGAAAGTAGTGAAAGAATGTACTAAGGACCAATAGGGAATGCGTATTCCCATCCTCATGTTCCTTTGCGGGAAGAGCCCTCTTAATATTGTATAAATAGCTTTAACCGAGCATTACCCAGGTATGTGCATATCCCATTATCTGACACCTGTCCCTCTCTCATAGTATAACAGGCTGCCCGTGCCATTGCCAATAGGGGCTTCATAGCAGAACGGGTCAGAAGGTATAAACTAGTGTCAGCAGGGGGTCTCAAGCGAGCAACTGCATAATTTTATTTATAGGTTTTATGTATGTCTTAATTGTATCACCTTTAGTCTTCATTTTCTTCATTGACTGATTACTTTTCATGTTTCTTGCAGCCTTTACAAGGCATTTATTTCTAACGACTGTGTTATCGGTAACTTTGAAAACTGTGAGTAAGCTACTCCACCTACTGGGCATCTCTTAAATTACACCAAAGGATCTAAGGAAGGCGGACAGCGACTTTGGAGATGATCTTTAAGATGCTGGAGCTCATAAACATACTCCATTCCACTTGCCCACTTCGTTCTGAGTGCTGCAAGTGTTTCGCCACTGTGTATTTCTCTTGTTTACTACCGAGATCTCAGAAAATGATGATCTCAGCTTTTACTTAATACTTTTCTATCTTCCCTTCTTATTGACTTAGACGTTTCTTGGCAGTCCATTAGACGTTTCTTGGCAGTCTAACTTTAATTGAACATTGGGGTAGAAAACCGAAGGCAAGAGCGTCCAACCGAAGGCGTCCAACGGCACAAAACCAGAATTTTATGGGAAAATCAACAAGGAGTGAATCTTGGTGTTTGTAGAAGGGCCTGCCGACACCTGCATCTTCTTTGCAGTTTGGTTCTGTACATAGATGGCATTTGGTTCTGGACATGCCATCACACCACCCAGTGCCAACAGACATTGCCCGGAACACCTTAGCCTCAGATTCGGGACTATGGCATATTTTGAATTACAGTGTATTTACTATAAGCACAGAGGTTTCTGCTCTTACAGAAGTAGAAGGATTTAATTTTAAAAATGATACTTTTTAACCATCATTCCTCAGGTAGAAAGTGTCAAATGTTATCTTTTGTACTTTGTTAGAATATCTAATTTTTAAATTTTTTGTTTTAGTTACTGACTTGAATTCCATTTTTAAAATGTTAGCACAGTTTTGACTTGTCATTAAGACAGAATTTCCAACAATTCTGAAATGGCCCTAAATATATTTTTGCCATTTTGAACTTTGCATTTATATGAAGCAAGACTCTCATCCTTCATGATTATAAACTCAAAATATTAATAAACCCTGAAAAATTAAGCTGTCCTATACATTGGAGCATCAAATATTCAATTCTTTTTTCTCTCTCCCTTCCTTCCTGCCTTCCTGCCTTTCTTCCTTTCTCCTTTAATTTCTTTCTTCCCTTCTTCCTTCTTTCTTTTTTCCCCCCCAGGGTCTTACTTTATAAACCAGGTTGACCTGAAACTCACCATTTAGATCAGGCTGGCTCTAACTCAGTTTGAGTAGACCCAGTTGCCTCTGCCTCCCAAAAGCTGAGATTAAAAGAGTGTACCACTAGCCTGTTTAAAATTGGACTTTCATGTAAAAATAAAGAATCACATCCATCTCACTGGTATCAAAATTTTTTCAGCTTTAGTAAACAGTAAAATTATATGTATCTAAGAAATGGTTTTAGAATGAAGTTCTTTAAGATTTATTATCAGTGTTTGATTTGTGTACTTACATTTTGTGTGATCCAGGGTCACACAAAAAGATTGGGAGCTAAAACTGAGTCCTGATTGGGAAGAATCCCTGTTCTGAAGGATTCTGTCAAGATGTGTGAGCAAGTTGGATAAGCAACCAGAGTAAGCTTGGATCTGTAATAGAGGCATAGAAGCAGAGTGACAGTAAGGCCTCCAGATGTGCCCTTGGTGGGTTAGATCAGGGTTTGTGGTCTCCAAGTACAATTTATCTTCATGAAGGCACAATAATGGAACAAAAGCTCTAGATGGCATTGTAAGAAGAAATTTCTAGAACCTCCTAGAAAAGCAAATCTGAATTTACTACATTAATAAATCTGACATTTATTTGTGACACATACACAGGTTCTTTATTGAGAATGGGGTGAAACAGAAAGAGAAGGTGAATTCTAGCATAGTGTTTGAAATCATGCACCATGCCCTGCAATAACTGATTTATCACTTAACTTAATCCACGTAGAGCACTTATCATATAGATACGGTTTCCTATTACACACGGGTAGCCCATTGCATCGCTTTCTCAGTTTCCACTGCTTCTGGATAATTTGAACATGCTTGTCACTTCACCAACCGCCTGCCTTCCTCAAGCATTTGATGGCAGGAGGTGTGGAAAGGCAGTGGAAGAAAAAGGTGTTAAAGGACTCTTTCAAAAGCGTTGGCATCAGAAGAAAAGATAAGCACAAAGCTAATTATAAGGAATGCTTTATTCAAGAGATGATCATGTTTTCAGGCTGGAGGAAAAGAAATGAAACGCAGACACGCCCAGGCAAGAAAGGCCAGTTAGAAGGACGGCCCACCCCTGCTAAGCTCATCCAACAGCTGCATAACAGCCGCAGGCACTCCGCTGACCTGCGAACTCTAGATTGCAGCCTCCTCCCTTTGCCAGAGACTTCAACTCGGTTTGATCTTTGCTCTTGTCACCTACACACATATGCTGTTTCTAGGTGACCTTGTGGCATATGACAACATCTGCATGGTCACATGACTAACCCACCTGACTCTCCCTGTACATATCTCTTGGGGCTCCAGTGCTGTCTTTGCCACTTTCTCACCTGGGTGGTTATTAGTCGTATTTAAGGTGACAAATCAAAGTTTAGGCTTCCATAAGAACCAGCTGTGTTGCCTCCTTCCACCGTCTAGTCAAGGGCATTATTTGACCCTGGTTTTCCTCTGGTGAATTTCAGGATTAGGCCCAAGAATTACATATTTTTTTTTTTTCTGGGAACTGTTAGTTAACCCGGATCGTGACATAAATTCTTCATTGTATTATTGTGGGCTGCAAAACTAGACTGACCTTTAGGGCCCACATTAATCTGTTTCTTCACGCTGCCCACATGTAGTCTTCACAGTTGACGGACTTGGAAAGTACGTGGAAATGTAGTTTAGCAGCAGAGTATCTGCCTAGCAGGCACAAGGCCCTGGATTGGATACTTAAAATTGAAGAAAAAAAAATTGCATTGCTCCATGATTCACTTTGCCTTTATAAATACAAAAGAGTAAACCTTAGTTACAAGAGATATTTAAGCTACATCAATGACTTGGTACTATTTCTTGCTCTGAGTTTTACTTCCTGTTCATAAGAAACTCTCCTCTCACTGTAAGCCATGACACTATCAAACTACTCCCCCAATACAGCCAATAGCACGGCTTTTGAAACAGAGCCTAGCATTTTAAGCAAAACAGTGTTTTTCTCTCTCAGCATCCGCAAAGCCTCATGGATGCCATGCCTCCAGGTCCTACACACACCCCCACAATTGGGTTTGAGCATAGAGATTCATAAGACATAACAAACAGTGGTTTGTTCTGAGCAATGCACGAGGAATGCCTTCTTTTGTTTGGAGCCTGCTTGAAAAGTCAGTCGTCTCTTTAATGTAATCTAACCTTCTGCTCTCATTGAAGGGCTAGATACAACCAACTACAAAACATCTATTTGCTCTCCCTCTTGTTTTGCACCTCCACTTTCCCCTCTGGTAGCTTTGAGTACTCCCTGACAGCACTCATATTTTTCAAACGAATGTCTGACAACTTAGAACTCTTTGCAAGCACCAGCTCTGCCCTCATACCACCCTTCCATCTCAGCTGTCACTCAAGTTCTTTTTCTAATCATGCCAGACTTGATTAGTATCAATTTGACTGCTAGAAAAGAAGCCAGAGAAAGACCGAGTATATAAATACTTTCAGATATCTCAGAGTTAGGGGGACAATGAAGACTGATGACGCCAACGTCTCGCAGAAATTAGCTGAATGTAAGGATTACTGCCATCCGAAAAAGCTGAGAAATGAGCAGAGCGTTCAACAGACTCACGGAGTTGAGAGACTATCACAGAGGTGGTCCTTCTACTCCCAGTAATAGACAACGCACACAGACTCCAGGAGTCCATGGGGGACTCAAAAGTGACTGGATAGCAAGGTGAGCGGAGCTGCGTTAAGACAGGGATAAAGAGGACATTATGAGATGCTCAAAATAATTAATAAAAGTGTTTTTAAAGGTAACTTTAAAAAGAGGATTGTCCTGGTAATAAAGCTCTAATGAATGATCCTGGAACTAAGGACACTGGAGCAAAGACCAACCCCCACAGGGACTGAAGGCTGACTTTTCCATTCCTTCTAACAGATAAGATTGTGGGGGACCAGGAGTCCCCACCACTCTTATCTTTTATGACTGGAGCAAGTTTGCAAAGATTACAGCAGAAGGTAGGAAGATTTACGGAGAACGTAGATAAAGGAATGATTAGAAATAGACTTTAATATGACTATGATAAGTATGTCCAAAGAAATTAAAAGGCCAGCTTGATAACTGCAGCGTAAACAAGAGGCTGTAAAAGAGAATCAAATGGGGAGGAAAGTAAAAATGCAAGATTAAAATTGAGAGCTTCGTGGAGCAAATGAGCTATTAACTATAGCATGGAAGCAAGCCAAAGACACACACAGCACATGTCGGAGGCTGCTCTTTGGGATTTTCCTGTTTCTATGGATAAGTTAGCTTATTAGTGTCACAGAAAAGAGACCCATTCAAAATTCACTGGAAATAAATAACTACCAAATAGAGGATTCTATAGCTAATTTAAGAATCTGAAAGGTCTAAGGAAAGATAAACTGATGGCCACTTGCTAAAAATGCTATAACAGAAGAATGATTCACATTCAAATATTTGAAGATTCAAGAAAGAAGGACATATAGTTGAATGAGGCAAAAATGTAGTTAAAATGAAGTGAATATATTGTTAAGAGTATAAAAGAATATTAACAATATCTCGTAGGTTTGCAATCTATATGAAACTAAAATATATTATATTGTGAACATATTAAGAAGGATATGGTTAAATTAAATTCCTGAATGCCCATAAAACACTATAGGTAATATTATAAAATACACATACTGTTTTGTATCAAGCTTTACTAGTTTAAACACTCTATGGCAACCTTTTAGATAGGTATTAAAATAATACAATAAAAACTAATTTGTTGAAAGGTAAAAAAGGAAGAGAAATATAGAAGAGAAGAGCAACATGGGAAGCAAAATAGCAATAGAATTTTAAAATTCAGTTGTATTGGTAATTACACTAACTGTAAATGGACTAAATAGTCTTCAGTTACCCTATTCGTCCCATCTCTTTCACTGTCAAACTTTTTTGAAAGTCTGGACTTTGAATGTTTTTTTCAATGTTCAACTCATATAAATGAATCGATTCCTTCCAAACTCAGTTTATATTACATAGACTGCTTTTGGCAAGATTATCATTTAGTGTGGCCTCCTGGTAGGTTGGGAACTTACCACCTCCCTTTCTGAAACTGCAACCTTGTATTATTTTATGACACATTTTCCCTGGACTTTTCTTATGCTTCTTTGATTGCCTTGCCAACCTCCTTCTCTGCAGACCCTCAATGC